GGTTTGTGGAGGGTTTTGGTTTTATGTGTTAAAAATTGGGTTTTCCCATTTTTTCCCCTAAAAATATTAAATTTCTTAGTATCTTTCTAAACCATTTTGTAGAGCTTTAAAAAATTAATAATTTAGTATATTGAAGCGTTGTTGTATGCCTAACAATTACGGAGATCATTCAAAAAATTGTAAATTTAAAATTCCCATGTTATTCTTAGGGAGAATAAATAAACTGCTTTAATTTGCTTGTTTATGAATATATTTCAATCAAATTTGGTAATTTTTTTTATTTCATACTACGCTATCAATAACTCAATAAAAAACACACCTCTTTACATTCCGTGTAGCAGAAAACTTAAGTACTCATTAAAAATAATGTTATTTAAATAGGAAATCAATATGATGATTTTAAGGGAATATTTTAGTATAAACCCAGCCAGGTCTGCACCTGGCTGGTATTCGCTTGGTCTGCAGGTTTGCTGCGACGGGGGTATTTTTCTATTTGATTAATTTCCAAACTACGCAGTTCAGAATAAACTGCTTTAAACTATGGATGTTTTGTATTCAGTAAAATCTAAAATCTATTTTGTTTTACTTTAGCTAGTACTTTTTATAAGGGTATCTTTAACATGGTCTTCTCCTCAGCGAATCATATGAATGATATATCGTATCAATCCCTTTACAGAGATTAATCTGGTAGGTTAATATACAGGGTGAGTTTTGTTTTGTTCCAATAGAAATATGACCAATTCTTGAACATTTTGTATTGATTACTAATTTTGTAATAATAAAAAACTGCCTAGCATAGTATAAAGAACTTTGGGAAACAATCCATCATATATGAATTTAGAGCACTTAAAAGCTATAAAGATTTAGAGCTTATAAAGGTTATTGAACCAACTGTCCAAAATTCCCATAATTACAGATTCATATCAAGGCAGTGAATCTATACCTAAAAAATGTAATTTTTCTCAGGTTTCAAGCTGCTATTTTTCCTTATCCTTACCTAAGGTCTTCAATACCATGAAACCATCCTTTTAGGCATTGCTCGATTTGTAAAAAATGAGGTACCAGAACTGTAACTTATATAATGTGATTTGTACCTATTTATTCTAATAATTTTATACATTCCTGAGAGACCAGAATGCCGTTCTGCTGTGAATCGAGCACTGCTTATTTGTATAAGCTTCAAGAACATTTGCTTTCTTAAGGTATTCTTTAAACGTATAATACAGGAGATTGAGGAAATCTGCCTGAAGACAGGGGGAAAACAATGACTCTTGTACATACTTTCACATCTTTCAATGCACAATAAGCTATGGTTTACGAGCCTGGCACGTTCTACCAATTTTAATATTTCATTTTTTTATAGTTATTGTATGCAAAAGGCTCACTAAACCTGTTTCTAGACCATTTTCCTCAAATTTCTGTATTTAAGGTATTTTTTGAGAATATCTTACAAATAAAATCTACCAATCTGGGAATTTTATATCTGGGAGTTTAAGAAACCCTCTCCTTCTGTTTATAGTCTGTAAGACTAACAACTTTTGTTTGTCCATATAGAAAAGTGTGGCTATTAAAGAAAACCCAGTGTTTGCGTCCGATAACACGCAATAATGCGAAAACTTTTGGCATGAAGCTTCGCAGCGCCCCTGTGTAAGTTTTGGCATTTAGCATGCTGTGATTAAACGCTTGTGGTGGGCGTGTATATTGCCATGAGTGCTGATTTGGGGGAATCATCTATTTGAAATTACCTTACGATTGTTTGCAGGTAGGAAGCTAGAGGTTGACTGTTTGGAGAAAAAAGAGTTGTTTGGATATAAATATTGAAATTTAATATAGGCCTACAAAAATTTTTTTGCGAAAATTGGTTGTTAACAATTCCACTCACAAGCAACAGTCCACATGTAACAACTCAGCTGATTGATTCTAGTTTTCAACCAATATTTTTAGAACCAATGAATATTGTCCTTACTTTCAACACTTTTCACTAAACCAACAAGTCTCCAAACTTTTTTTAGAAATTGGCATGAATTATCAAAGACCATGTGTTTCCAGACATTTCCAGTGAAGCTAATTTGAACATTTTCTCCACGTTTGTTAATCAAACAGCATGAATACTGGGGTAGTCTTTTTTTTCAAATAAATGCTATTAACAAGTGTGAAAAAATGTCCATTACATTGTGTGTTTATTGTATTACAAAAAATTAAAAATTGTATGTGTTGTGAGATGAATTTCAACAAAAAAAAATTTACATTAAATAAGTTAAATGAAGTTTACAGTACACACATAGTTCCCCATCTTTGTCTGGCAATTTAAAAACCCATACTATCTAGACTGGTGCAGTACAGTAGAACCTCTTTAATCCGAACCCCCGTAACCCGAACGTCCACTAATCCGAACACCTCATTGCTGTACTTTATACACAGTACAGTAGTTCTACATTGTATACTGTTTTAATGTACAGTACTCTTTATTCACTATGTTTACTACTGCATTAAATAAACACTGTATTTTACTTTATAAAGCATTTTTTAACTTTTCCAGTAACAATTACAATCCATTTTAGCCTTGTTTCAGCTATTGTTATGTAAGGCAACAATATGTTCTGTAATCCAAACTATTCAATAGTCCGAACTACCCCCGGTCCCAATTAGTTCGGATTAAAGAGGTTCTACTGTATATGTATACCTACGCATTTGCCTGTATTATGCCCTTCCAGGGTACCCACTCAATCGTGTGAACCTTAAAACTTTGAATGAGATGAATTTGGGGGTTAAACCTTAAAAAAGAGATAAGCCAATTCCAATTACTAATACTTTGTGACTTAGGATCCAATACTTGTCCCAGAAACTGACGCAATTGGTGTCAAATCACGATCATTTAATGTGATTGCAGCATAATGATCATATTCTCCCACGATTGTGATGACCTTATGAGTTTTTAAGGTCATAAACTTTATACACGGTCTTTGCCATCACTTTAATCTTCTGATATTCTGTCTCGAAAAACGAGAATAAAGATGTCTTGAATTTGTCGGTCTTTAACATTCCTGCTTTCCAATATTTGGTTAAATTTTGAATCCATTGAACTTGTACTTATCAATGAGTCATTGATTCAAATTTAATTTATTTCTGGCTGGATTCTTTAATGCATGTGACAATATCAGAAACCTTGCTACAGTGTCTCTAGTTGCCGCCACGGTTCTCCCAGCACCTAGCCTAAGACCCGTTCCCTTTATCAATGTTACAAAAAATATGTAAATACAACTGTGAAAACCTCAAATTTATTTACACGTTTGAGTGGGACCTGTCTTTAACAAATGCTGTTGCAGTTTTAACCTCTCAGAGTGGAGGTCCATGGATAGGGCTTGAAAGAACATCTAGGAAGTTGATATAAATCTGTTAAATTTATTTACTTAAATGTTGTCTGACAGATAAAAGTGTGTTAGCATTCAAACAATATAGAATAGTATATTCTTTGTGTACTTGCAGAAGGTGTAAAAAGAAACTTTAATCCATAGTTTAAAGCTGACAATCACAACTAGCTGTAATAAATTGCACAGGGTTGTGTCTGAAATATAAAAATTGAGCTCTCCAATTCAACTGAAGTTTATTACACAAAATAGTTGTTCACATGTTCCAAGTACTATCTTGGATGCATGGAGAAATTCCACTGGAATAGCTTCGGTGTCGTGGCGGTCAGTGTACTCCCCATTGGGCACAATAGTGAGCTTCATATAATGAGCTTGAATAGTGAACATTCAAGTACAGTATACATACAAAAACACATGAGGAGATATTAAAATTGCTTAAAATAGTGTCCCAGTTCACTTTACCGTAGAAATAAAATTATTTTTCACCTCACTACACTGTTTTAACTAACTTTCGACGCAAGGATTTAGTCCGAAAACAGCTGTTTGCTGTTGTTATTGGTGTACTCAATTAAATGGGGTTTCATTACATACTACTGTACAGTTCTGAGTTTTACTGGAAACCAGCTGATTATATTTGGCAATGTGAGTAATTACAAACAAAAACATAACCTCCCTTAGTACTCTATGAGTAGTGATTTTTATGTCCTTTAGTCAGTGGGGATATAACTGATTTGTACAGTTTTTTTTTATTATTTTTTATTGTTAGGTTAGTTTGTATGGGCAAAACATATCGTATGTCACTCATCCAAAATGAATTTACCAAACTCGTCCGGTAAAAACCTGTTCTCCATACTAGTAACGTATTAATACTATGACGCAAAAAAATCTACTGTTTTCAATACATGTGTTGCAGAGCTAAAATAGTTCTTTTGATCCCTAGAGCAAAAGAGGTTTAGCTGGAGTCATGTGCTTCTGTGTATTTTTCTTGCTCATCACAATTATCGTAATAGACCAAAATATTTGAATTAGTAAAAGTGGTTTGTTTATAATATGAAAACCAGATGCAAGTCACTTTGGGAGCTAACTGATAAAGGTAAATATACCCATTTTTTATTTTGTGAATTTAAAGAATCTGTGAGTTCGTTGAAGCAAAATAAAAAATACAGTTCATCATTCGGGCCAAAATTGTTTTTTCAACCCTTGCTGATTTACTATTTTCTTGAAGGTTGTACAATATCCATCATAAAACTTGTTTAAAAGTTAGTCAATTACACTTTTTCATCGTAAATGGGGGTAAACCATTGACTAGTATCAAAACTTGTATTTTGTACTTGGCCAGAAAGTGAATGGTAGAGGTTAAGTTATATTTTAGAGGTTCTATTGCAGTCAAAACATTCTCAGTTATTGTAGGTCCAAGTGAGGCTGATTCTACTATGGCTGACGCTGGTGTACGTTCCTCTTCTTCAGTTTCAACATACAATCAAATAACCTACTACAGTGGTTCATTTAAGTCACCTCTGCTCCGTGAATCAATTACTATTTTGTTAATATTATACAGTAGTTTACTAACATTTATTTTTATAGCTTTCTTTGTTTTCGCATGTTAATCTTTCTGCATGTTGCATGTTTTAGACGCAAATCAAAGTCTTGGTCATGCTATAAGTGGAACTGCCTTATTGTTTGATTTGCATTTTCCTTCTAGTTTGTTTCATCTTTGTTCACTGTGTTTTTTTATTGTTTCGGGTGAGTATTTTTTATTTCATAATTTTAAAACCTGCTTTTTACACTGTTGTATGAGAAATTTAATTTTTATTGGTACTTTTCTGTAAAACACCTCGATTTTCTGATATACCAACCACACCTTAGGTTAGGTTATGTTGTGTTGTAGGTTTGTTTGTAGATTTAAAAAGTAAATGTACAAATAAACTTACTACCTAACCTAACCTAGCCTAAGGTACCAACAATCAAAGTACGGTTGGTATAAAAGAAGAGTACTTTTTAATCTTGGAACAGAGTACAAATATTTTTTAGGTTTATTAGTTTGAACTTAAATGTATTAATACTAAATTATACCTTTCCTGATGAATAAATTCAGATTTAACTTGGTGTGTAACTCTTTAATATACTTTTCTCATTTGTCATTTCATGAATCACAAATCATTATTATTAAGTAAAAAGCACATTATTTGTGTGTTTATTCTCAATGTTCCTTACAACTTTTCTTTGTCTCTCCAGCTCGAGAGTGGGGACGACGCGACCATCGAAGGTGGTTGGATAGAAGCACATTCACAACTACATAAGCCTAGCACCCATCTGTTGATCCACAAATACTGTAACTGGTTAAACCAGGTTATTGATGGTTATTGATTGTTATAAGTTACATGGTTTCCACGACAGAAAGCATTGAAGGTGGGTTTTAAGTTTTAACCCTGTGATGAATTTTCAAACAGGATTATCGAGATATTTTATGTTTTTAAGATTTACTTCTTAACAGTATTAATTTACATTAATAATATTATTATTATCTAACAGTTTTACAATTTTGAATGGATCATTAAAAATATAAATGGGATAAGTGTCTGTTAGAATATTGTTACCTGATTGATTACTGACATAAGATTCAGTATTGTGGTTGTACATATCCAGCTGTTCTGTCTTTCTTGCTAAGTATTTTAACCTGTCAGATGGATATAACTAAGATGTTTTATTTTTTATAATAATTATAATATATACAGTAATATAAAATAGATTTACTGGCAATTTTTCAAGTCTAATTCCTTATTTTTGTTACTGAATTTTAACTGTAAGTGTAAACCACGTAGTTTCCAGTTTTTAAGTACACTCTCTACAAGTTTATAGACTAAAATGATTAAATGCTCTTAAAAGTTGTTCTTCTCTAAGATAATTATTACACACGGTGTTTGTAAAACAAACTTATAACTTCAAACGAGATTCTTTTTTTCCCTACAAATATTTTAACCTCGAATGGGACATTTTATTTATAAAGTATTTTGAAATACTAAAATACAAATTATCATGATGACTTTAATGCATTTTATGTTTAAAATATGCAACAGAAAGGTAATAACATTTTTTAAAGTTAATACAATTACAATTTCTATATTTATTGTTCACCTGTGTTTTATACAAATATTCCTGGTTGAAATGTGTTTTACTTATTAATGTGCCTCAAAACTGTTTTTAAATTCTCCTTATGAAAATTAAAGATTTATTTGTTACTAATGTTGGTAATGTAAAAAAATTTAAAACAACCTCAAATTTGTATAAACCCTAGTGCTATTGACAAATTCTTTGTTTTATAGAAATACAAATTCCATGATATTGGAAATCAGGAGAATTCTATTTGTAAAATATTTCAATCTGCGAGGTTCAATCTGGTAGTTCTTTTGAAGAAAAAGTTATTTCTCCAATGATTTGTAATCAACAGGTTCTTTTTTAACTACGAGGTAAATTATTTTTTGTTTCTTAAGTTGGAGATGTTTAAAAAATTTAACTTGATACGTATTTCTAGCACAAAACATCATCACAAAGATTGAAAATTATTGAAGTATTTTCAACCAAACCTTGAAGTAAATTAACTCTCATTGGCTATTAATGTTTATATAATACAAAAAAGGATTCTAGTTTGAAGTTTTTTTGTTTATAAACACCCTGTATGTATACACGACCCAGGTCTTTGTTGAATGTTTTTGATTATTTCAATAGTAAGTTATGTTACCTTATGTATCGCCAAGTGGGATCGTGTTCTTGTAGTTAGACTATTATGGGTTTGAAGACTTAATAGTTTCATTGTCAAGTCTACGTGAACATTAATCAGCCGCCACACTTCTCTCTACCTGGTAGTGAATGCATCATATGTCCACATAAGCGTCAATGACTTAATGTCCACGTAGACTTGACAATGAAGCTATTAAGTCTTCAAACCCATAATAGTTTTACTACAAGAACAGGATCACTTGGTGATACATAAGGTAACATAGTCTATTGTAATAATCATAGTGACCTAGAGGCTACGCCTCAATGTTTTAATTAACTTCTTATTTGGTCAACAACATGTCTGTTGCTGTTCGTTCACATTAGTTATTAGTCTGTAATAAGAAACATATTTTTATTTGCTATTATTCAGACAAATATGTAACTATTGCATGACTTATTTGACTTATCTATTTTAGTGTTCACTCTAATTTAGACTACTAAAGTGTTTTAATATATTAAATTTGTATGTTTGTTTTTTATCAAATCTCCCTTTTACTGGGGAAATAATCTGCTACAAAAAACTTAACTATATGGTGTATATTTAAAATGTAGCCCATTATTCTAACCTTACCACATGCACTTTTTAAAAGAAAAACTTTATAATATTCTAAGGTTATACAACTAAAAGTATCTAAATATCAAAAAGTGTATTCTTATCATTTTAAAATAGGCTAAACTAAAAGCTATATTTCTATTTGTTGTTGAAAAAGAGACCACTCAAGCTATTAGTTATTATTTTTTAACGTTTATTTAAAGTAAAATGCTAACACACTCCAAACATTGGCAATAGTAAAGTTATGACTCTTAGAATGAAATTGTACATCTCTATATTACTTAGCCTGTGCAGACAAGCAAGCAATAACTATAACTATTCTATGTCCTTGATTGATAAAAAAATTATCAAATCATAAAGTTTCAGTTCAGATCATCAAGATATTAGTGTGCCCAAACTGTAACTGTATAAATTAATTGTTATTAAATATTATTGTAATATTTTACCCAGGTTTTGTGTATTGTAGGCATATTTCTTATACGTTTTGAGACTCTTTGTATGTTCATGTTCTTTAGCAATTGTAGTTTTTGGTAATTCAAAAAGATTTGAAAAACTCTGAAATTTTGTGAAAGGTTTTCTTAATTATTATGTTTTAATTTATTTTTTTGTGTACGGTAATAGTAATCTGTGGTCTTGTTATGAGGTCTACCCAGCCAAAAATATGTTACAAAACCATTTTTTACAAATACCCATCACTTTTTGTGTGGAATTACTTAAATGAAAGTTAAAGTTTGAAAGAAGAATTTAACATTTTTACTTTTCCATAAACTGCAACAATGCCTAGTTAATTAACCGGAAACTAAAACTGTTCTCTATTTATATCCTTTTTAGTGCTGTTAACATTCTTGGCAGAGTTTGAATCCACAATTGCTAAGTACATGTTCAAAAATCTTGGCTAAGCAAAGAAAATCTTATGCATTTTCCATTTTTAATTTTAATGTAATACTCTTTTAGTTGTGGGATACATTGACTTTGTAAGAATTTGCAAGATGACTCCTTTTGAAGAGTTGGATGGAAGTGTCTGGTTAACGTCATGATAGGAGCCATACTTACATTTCACAACTAGTATTTTGCAACAGTCTTTGTTGGAATGGGGGGGATCATAGTGTTACTGCAGTATTCTGTTTCCTTCGTTATTCCTTTTCAAGACAGTACCTTTGGTAAAGCTTTGTTGAACGACACCAGTCCTGAGTCCTGTAAAACAACAAAGTGTAAAATAGTTGAGATCTCAATTACCCCGGGAAAAGCCTCTTTAAATGTCTTTTGTCTTACTATGTTAAATTTTGTTTCATGTTTTTTCAGCAAAGGTTCTTTTTAATTGGAAAAGTATTTATTATAAAATACATATTTACCTATGTATGTTGTTAAACTAGGTTGTATCAGGGAATTTAAGTGTATAGAGTTGATTTTGAGGTTTACTACAAACCTTTTTTTTAATTTGTTGTCAGATAGAGCTTATGTATGTAATCTTGCACATTTAATCATTTTATGGTATGGTGATTTTAGATATTCTTTAAAGTTGTTATACACGATTGTAAATCTATTATATTATTATATAATTATGTACAAACTAGAATAATATCGGAAATTTAATTAAAATTTATAATTATTTTCAGACTGTTTAAGTATTTGTTAATCATTGTTTGTTATTCTTTATATAAGATATTTTGGCAAATAATTGTGTACATTCTGTACAAATTACTTCCTAAGAGTTTATTGTTGAGAAGTAATTGTATGTTTTAAATACTTTGATCGCTGTATGTATTAATAATCAATGTCTTCGAGCTGCAACTTTGCTTGGTTGATGTATTTTTTATGTTTCAATATTAGCTATTTGCTAATATATTCATTATTAATCTTACTTTTGACTAGTTTTTTTAATACTTGAGATAGTGGCTGCATTAAATGTAATACAATTAAAATTAATTTAATAAAACAGTCATTTTGAATCATCACTGAATACTATGTATTGTAACATTTTGTTAAATATAAAACTACTCATTAATGGGGAAATTTCTTTTTTACCACGGTCCCTGGCAAAGGTTGTGTTCGTACAGAATACAAATTTACTTCAAGAAAGAGAATATACGAATGACATGTAATAAAAAGAAAGTAATCATTCCTTTTACAATGTTTGAATTCAACAATTAATTTCTTGTAAAATAAACATTTACTTTAGCTTTCCAATAAAATATGCTATAGTTTGCGAAAGTTAACCTTTTAGTTTGGTTAGGTTTGGTTAACAGTTTCAAGTTAAAAGATTTGTTCTTTTCTTATCGCTAGGGATTTTAACTGCAATATTTTAAATTTTTAAGGAGTAAGGAAACTCCCCCTGTTTCTTTGGTTAGGTTGGCATATTCTACAGAAATCAGCAAACTATGATGTTAGTGATTCAATTCAAATACGTACGGAATGGAATGTCTGGTTCAAGGTTTGGCAAAAATTGATCGTTTAGTAAGTCACAAAATCCTCTTTAGTTCAAACACAACAGGGGTCTTGAGGGAGGTTTTGAAGGCCAACATGAGATTGTCTTTGAGGTTAAGGATGTGGTCTAAAACATGAAAAGATCAAAAGATAGCAAAGCTTACACACAAGGTGAAACCATATTTTTCAAAACTTTAAACCTGTGAAAATGCTATTTCTTGAATAAAAACAGCTATTACCGATAAAAAAATGTAATGTAAATTTTTATATTTATGTTTTGCTAAAACCAAAACATTTCAAATCAATTAGTTACAGCTGCAAGTTGAAAGCAATTAAATACAGTTATCCTATACTCTAATACATCAAAGCCTGTCTGTCTGTCCTGTCTGTAATATAATCTCAAAATCCAGTGGAAGGATTTTGATTACATTTTGGAATTAGGGACTTAAAGTCTTAAAAAACGTGAGTGACAACAGCCACTACCTCAGGAAAATTTGTATTTCGCTACACAACTCATTTGAAAATGTAACATTGGCCTTATGGGTTGCAAAATGCAAAGTAACTATGTTTGTTGAAAAAAAAAACAGTAAAAGGTAAACAAAAGACATGTAACATGTGTTTATACAAGCCATCCACAATATACTAGCAAATTATAAAATGCAGTACAAAGTGATAAATATCAGTTATACAATACAATACAATACAATATTCTTTATTGTTAATTCGTCAAGAATTACAATAGTGTCAATACAATAGTGAATTGTACATGTTAATTTTCATAAAATTCCTTTATTGAGTAGAAGGGTCTTGCGATTAGCCACTTCTTCAACTCCTGGTGTAGCTTGTTGCCAGTCAGGTCTCTCAGGTAGTCAGGTAGATGGTTCCTCAGCTTGCAGCCGGTGTAGGAAGGTTTTTTCTCCCAAAGAGTTGTTCGGTGAACTGGTAGTGCAAATTTGGAGCCATGACGGGTGTTGTAGTGGTGCAGGTCTTGGTTTCTTGGGGGGTTTATTTCATTCACATACTTTATAGATTCAAGTATGTAGAGAGACACCACTGTGAGGATTCCTAGGTTTGCGAATGCTAGTCTGCAAGTCTGTGGTGGGACAAGGTTGGCGAGGGCTCTTATGGCTTTCTTTTGAAGGACGAGAATTCGATTCATATTTTTTGTTGAAGTTCCTCCCCACACTGTCAAGCCATATCTAAGATGCGACTCTACCAGTGCGAAGTAAGCTGTTTTGGCCACGGAGAGTCCGCCTATGTAGTTTATTCTTCTGACGACATATATTCCAGTACTGATTTTTTTGCTTAAGTGGTTGATGTGCTCTTTCCATGTTAGTTTGTTATCAAGGATAACACCGAGAAATTTTGTGTGGTTTTCTATTGTTACATCCTCTAATTGAGGGACTATGTCTTTTTTCTTACTGAAATTCAGAGTTGTAGTTTTTGTGGGGTTTATTGCTAAGTCATTGTTCTTTGAGTAGAGGATAGCTTTATTTAGGATCGATTTTGAATTAAGGTAAAGGTTTTGGGCTGTGTTGTCCTTGATCAAAATGGTTGTGTCATCTGCATACATGATTGCAACAGCATTTTCACTCTCAATTTGTTTGGGGAAGTCATTAGTCAATAAGATGAATAGAATCGGGCCTAATACAGAGCCTTGTGGAACTCCTCTCGTCTGCTTGCTTTTTGAAGATTTGAAACTTTCTGTGACTTCATTTGATGAGTTTTTCAGTTCCACAACTTGTGAACGTCCCGTTAGGTAGCTTTTGAACCATTCTAGCGCAGAGTTTCTTATACCGAGTCTTTCAAGTTTCTTGCATATCAGGTCGTGGCCCAGGCAGTCAAAAGCTTTACTGTAATCAAGGAAGATGGCGGAAATGTATTGTTCGTTTTCTATCTGGTCTAGGACGTACTCAATTAGTGCTGTTATAGCTGAGGATGTAGATTTATTCTTCCGAAAGCCATGTTGGCTGTCAGTTAAGAGTTTGTTATCATTAAGATGTGCCATTAATCTAGCCAGAGCAATTTTTTCTATGATTTTAGAGAAACTGGAGATGAGAGAGATGGGCCTGTAGTTTTGAGCATTTTCAGTTGGTCCTTTTTTATGTTTGGGGTATATTTTACTGACTTTTATGGCGGATGGGAATTTGCCTTCTTTAAATGATTTATTTATAAGATAAACCAGAGGAGAGATGAGTTCTTAAGAGCAGTGCTTTATCATCTTAGAGGAAAACTCGTCCATTCCACTTGATGTTTTGGCTTTTAGGGAGTTTATAATCGTTTTAACTTCTTTATAGGATGTTGAAGTTAGGGTAAGGTGTATTGGGCAGACTGGTTCCTCTCCATTCAGCACTGTTTCAGGGTCTACAACGATTGCTCTGTTTTGGTCAAGGGTATTTTCTGCTATATTTGAGAAGAATGTGTTGAAGTGTTCGGCCATTTCTTTTGTGTCGTTTGTGAGTTTGCCATTTATTTCTAATTCTGTAAGGGTTTTCTCTTCACATTTTCCTTTTCTTTCCTTGTTTATAACTTGCCATAGTGCTTTTGGTTTGTTGTCAGCTTGTTCTATGAAGCTAGCTGTTGAGGACATTTTTAGGTTTCTTAGTTTCATGTCGTATATCCTTTTTCTATTAATCATTTCTAATTTGTCTTCATTTCTGTTTGTTAACTCAAATTTTTGCAGAGCTTTCAAAAAGTTCTCTTTAAGGTATTTTGCTTCAGGATCGTAGTACTTCATATGTTTTTTATTTGTACTAATTTTAGTTTTCTTTAATGGGCATGTATAATCCAGTGCTGTTTGAAGAATATTATGAAATTTGTTGTAGGAGGTTTCAAGATTCGGTGAAGAGTAAACATGTTCCCAATTTTGTAGATGGAGGTGAGCCTTTAGATTGTTAAGGTTTGTGTTGTTTAGGCTTCTTTTCATTACAAATCTTTGGGAAGTGTCTTCTTGGTGTGTTTTCAGCAGGCATAGCTGCGCAGTGTGGTCAGATAGACCAGTATGCACAACTTGTCCAGTAATATACGCATATGGTATGTTTGAGCATATACAGTCTATTGAAGTGGCTGTGTCATGGGTTATTCTGGTGGCCTCTAGAGGAAATCTCCAGATGTTTTGTGTGGTTAACTCTTCTTCCAGCATGGTGTTTTTGGAATCTTGGGTGAGCCTGTCGATATTTATGTCACCGATGAGTATGAGGTTTTTCTTGTGTACTTCTTGTAGTTCTAGCGTGTCTGATAGGAGGTCAAGGGCAATTCTTGCATTTTCGATTGGTGGTCTATAGATTCCCAGAATGTAGATATCCTTTTTCTTTGTTGTCTGCATGCGAATCATTGCTGCTTCGAAAATTAACTCCTGGCATGTGTTTGATATGTTAATAGCTGATACTGTATCAGCAAGGGATTCCTTGGAATATATTGCAACACCTCCAAGTTTATGTTCTTCTCTACTAAAGTGGGTAATTAAAGAGTAGCCGGGAATTTTTGTAGCTTCTAGCTCTGTTTTTTTCAGTCCGTGTTCAGTCAAGACTAGAATGCTTGGTTTTGTGTCATTGAGAATATGGTGTAGTCTGTTCGTCTTTGTAGCAAGTCCTCTAATATTTTGGTGCATTATTGCTACACAAGAATTATTTGGAGATTTGCAGATTTTTCTTTTCCTTTTTTCAGGCTGTTTGTTTCTAAAAAAGGGGTTATAGTATGGGACACTGTAGAGTGATTGGATTGTTGACTTGAATTGGGTTCCTGCAGCTGCTCATGTTTCTGTTCTCCTTGAGAAGAGAGGCAGTCCATCTCGGTCATGTTTAGTCGCTTGGTGTGTGACAGAATATTCTTTTTATATAGGTCTATATTTTTCCAAAAGAAGTCTTCAATGGTCTCTCCCGGCTTCAGAAGCTTGGCGGTGATCGGGGGTTTCCCTGTGTTCTTTGGTTTAGTTGATTTTTTTGGGGGAGATATAGTGCCCTTGAAAGTAGAGCAAACTCCTTTTGGGATTTTGATGGCCTTGGGTTCTTTAATATTTTGATTTTGTGTTTGTTGTGGTTGACTTTGGTGTTCTGGTGCTTCTTTCCTCAACTTGCTTTTTGCTATTTGCAAGGAAACACTGAAATGGGTTTTCTTAGTAGTTGCCAATTTGTTTTTATTATATGAAACTCGTCTTGGTGTGTTAATTGGCTTGCAAGGAGTCTCCTTTTTCTCAGTTATTAGGTGCTGGGAATCTTCTACTGTTATTTTATCTTCTAATTTCTTCATTTTTGACTCCATATTATTCTGTTTTTCTTTTAGGGCCTTTAGTTCAAGTAGAATTAGTGTTTCTGTGTTTGATGCTTCTGGCTTTTTGTTGTCTGAAACTGTGGATTTGTTTGTGAGGTCCTTCGCCTCTGTAGTGGTTGTCTGTGTGCTTGTCTCTCTGAATGATTTTGTAGATTCTTCTCCGGTGTTTATTCTGCTGCATGTATTTTTTTGCCTAAGGCATTTAATTTCATTCTCCATGTCCTTTATTTTTGTGATGAAGCTATTAAAAGTTTCTTCCCTGTCTTTGTCATAATCTTCAAATGTTTTTGTGAGAGTGTTTCTTAG